CACTCTTTGTACGTCTGTGTAGCAGAGGTCTCCCACTTATTTCTTTTCTTTATATTCTCAAAACACAGAGACAGATATATATAGAGATGATACTGTGGGCGCGGTGTAGGGAGGGAAAAAGAGAGAGAGACAGAGAGAGTTTGACAAAGTGAAAGAGAACGTGTGTTTGAGCATATAGAGAGATAGAATCATTGAAATAGAAAGATAGAGATACAGAGAGAGAGAGAGAGAGAGAGAGAGAGAGAGAGAGAGAGAGAGAGAGAGAGAGAGAGAGAGAGAGAGAGAGGTGGGGGGGAGGAGGGGGGGATGACTCCAGTATTATTAGAAAAATAACAACTTACCCAATTGAAGTTGGGGGTGTGGTTCTTCGTGAACATGACTGGCGGTCTCGTCAAAAGGATTTATGGAATTCTGAAGAGATGACGTTGTCGCTTCCTCCGCCTCGTCCACGTCGCTCCGGCCACACAATGAAAGTGTCTTTCTCTCGCTAGCACCGAGGTCGTTATTGTTGTTGCTCTTATTGTTGTTGTTGCTCCCGATGTTGTTATTGTTGTCATTGCTACTACTGCTGTTTTTCTTGATGTTACTGTTGCCGGTATTGCGACTCTTGCGGCTGCTGCTGTGGCTTCTTTTGCTACGTTTGCTGCTGTCGTTGGTGTACGGCGACACGGCACCCACACTAGTCACGGACTGGCTCTCCGGCGGGCTCTTTGGTTTGTCCCTCGACGAAAAAGAAGAGAGCGTCGATGTCCTCGTCTGGGACGTCCCAGGTGGAGAAGCGGCGTCACCGTCTGACGAGTCTCTCTGGCCCGGCGGTTTGCCACCGCCAGATTTCAACAAACGCCGACACTCCACAGACTTTGTTTTCACCTTCTCTTTCTCCTCAACCTTTGGCCTCTGCTTCTTCTCTTCCTCCTTAGCCTTAGGCCTCTGCTTTTTCTCTTCCTCCTTAGCCTTAGGCCTCTGCTTCTTCTCTTCCTCCTTAGCCTTAGGCCTCTGCTTCTTCTCTTCCTCCTTAGCCTTAGGTCTCTGCTTCTTCTCTTCCTCCTTAGCCTTAGGTCTCTGCTTCTTCTCCTCTTCCGCAGGCTTTTGTCTCTGCTTCTTCTCTTCTTCCGCAGGCTTTTGTCTCTGCTTGTTCTCTTCCGCCACAGGCTTTTGTCTTTGCATCTTCTCTTCCTCGTCAGCCTTAGGTCTCTGCTTCTTCTCTTTCTTGTTTTTCGAGGTTGCCGCAGTGGGTCTCACTCTCTCTTCAGCCATAGCAAGAACTGCCTTAAAGTCAACGGGCTGGGGGACGCCGCATTTGTTAGCGTGTCTGACGATTGGCTTCTTTGGTGGTTTAGCAGGTTCCAGGTTCGTTTCTCTAGAAGATAACGGTGGCAGACTGTGCTTCCTTCTGTTGTCATGATTCCCTGACGACTGACTGTGAGAAGACCTGAAACGTTTACTGCTACTACTGCTGGTGCTTTGGTGAGTCGACTTCCTTTTTCGACCGGTATTGTTTTCCGTGTCTGAGTAGTCTTTCTTTTGGGCTCTCTCCCACGCCTCCCTGGCCATCCGAGCTATCTCCTCTCTTTTTCGTCTCGCTTCTTCCTCAGACAGCGTGCTATACTCAGACAGCGTGCTATACAAGTCAGAGAAATCGCTGTTGCTTTGTTTTATCTTGGGAATTCTGTACCCCTCCATTTTCTGCTCTCCCCTTTCCTCTCTATTTCTCTTTCCGATCTGGCTGACTTTGCTGAAAGGAGAATGGAAAACAATAGACTTAGTAAAGTAGAGAAAATCTTGTAACCAAAATTAAGGACATTCAATATCGTACAGCTCATTCTCAAAAGACTGACCTATTGCTTGCAAGAGTTTGGATTTTATAAATACTTTTCATATTTCAAATGAGTTGATCTTGTAAATAGATTTTACTTCTTTACTCTCCCTTTGTAGTTTCCGTCTACCCATTTGGCTTTCCCTATGTATTAAGTGACCGTTTTAGAACATAATACTAATATCTGTCAATATGAGTCTGTCTTTTTAAAATCAAATTAAGCAAGAACGCTTTCTATAATAATAGCAATCATTAGAAGATAAGGTTAAAGGGATACACGATCCCGGTAAAAAGATCGAGATACTCGATAAAAGTTCTCTCTACTTGGGAATTGCACAACGAGTTATCTTTACGCTACTCCAGACGCTGGTCATTTAAATACTACCCCCTCCCCCCCCCAAAAAAAAATAATTTTTTTTTAATTATTAAGATTATGGTAAAGGGTTTGGTGAGTACTGGAAGAAAATCAGTGGCCATAGAGTCCGATGCGAGTAGCAAGTTAGCTCAAACCAAAGAGGTTATGGCTCGACATGATGCTCAAACATGGGCTGTGGCCAAGTATTGTGTGTGTCTAAGTGTTGGGTATGGTGTGTGTTTCAAGCAAATATAACAGAGCAAAGTCCCTCCCCCCTCCCCCTCCAAAAAAGGGGTCCAACCTGGTGCTGAAAGATGGAAACCAGCAATAGCGTGTTTTAAAAACTGAATGCACTAATGTGATTTTGTCCATTATGTAAGGTTGATATGCTACTTCAGATATAGTCTAGTCTATCTATTGTTGCAACCCACAGGCGGTTTTATTTGTTTAGTTTTTTGTTGTTTGTGTGTGTGTGTGTGTGTGTGTGTCTTAGTGTGTGCGTGTGTGTGTGTGTGTGTGTGTGTGTGTGTGTGTGTGTGTGTGTGTGTGTGTGTGTGTGTGTGTGTGTGTGTGTGTGTGTGTGTGTGTGTGTGTGTTTCGGAGCGGGTTTGGTTTTTTCAAAGCGCAGCAAATGATTTTTTTCTCCATTACAGGTTATCAATTACAATAATTCAGTGCTCACGAAAAGCACAGGGAGCCCGATGTTTTACTCTTGATTAACGAGAGAATTAGCAACAAACAAAAAATCAAAACAATTCTCAACAATTGGAGATGCAGCCTTTAAGTAAAAAGGAAAAAACATAATGTATGACATTATAAAAAATGTATCATTTTGATTGTTATTACAATTCTCATTCTTGTAATGTCTTTACGCGTATCATCATCATCATCATCATCATCATCATCATCATCATCATCATCATCATCATCATCATCATCATCATCATCATCATCATCATCATCATCATCATCATCATCATCATCATCATCATCATCATTATCATCATCATCATCATAAAAAGTAGTAGTAGTAGTAGTAGTAGTAGTAGTAGTAGTAGTAGTAGTAGTAGTAGTAGTAGTAGTAGTAGTAGTAGTAGTAGTAGTAGTAGTAGTAGTAGTAGTAGAAAAGAAGAAGAAGAAGAAGAAGAAGAAGAAGAAGAAGAAGAAGAAGAAGAAGAAGAAGAAGAAGAAGAAGAAGAAGAAGAAGAAGAAGAAGAAGAAGAAGAAGAAGAAGAAGAAGAAGAAGAAGAAGAAGAAGAAGAAGAAGAAGAAGAACAACAACAACAACAACAACAACAATAACAACTAAATCGACTGTGGTAAGAAGATAAATGGAGATCTGTATTGATGATGATGATAAGAAAAATGCAGAACTCTGTATTACTCTTTCCATACGTAGATTTTTTGTTTCTTCGTTTCTATTTGGAACTTTCGTAAATTCGGTCATGATCCACTCGGTTTTTATCTGACAAATACTTATGTAACCAAAAGTAGTTTTGTGCGTTTTAATAAAAGCATTGTTGCAAGAAATTGTCAACGCTGTTGAGTTTTTGATTGCTTATAAATAAAGATAGCTTGTCCATTATTTGGCGATGAGGGCTTCGCCGAAAAAGCTGTAAAGTGAGTGAAGGAGTGAAAAGGTGCGCCATTACAGGGGGAGATTCAGGAAGAATAAAAGTTTTATATTTGGTATATACGTGATCAACTATCTATCTCCACAGTACGGAATTAAACTAATTTCCTTTGGCAACAAATCGAAGAGTACAATTAAGAGACACTTGTAAACTGTTGGTTCATTCAGAGGACATCAAGATAAAACTTTAAAATGAAAAAGAGAAGAAAAAAACACGTTCACTCACTTTGAGCAGCTAATCCTCCTGGGTCTCGTTATACCCACACGTTATTTTAGTTTTTAACCAGAAAAAGAAAGACAATTAGACACTGCTGTGAAATTCTCAAACAGTAAAAATCCTCATCACTTTTGTCACAAAACACAATTTAAAGACCGGGCTGAGAAGGTCCAGGACAAGACGTGTACATCTACAAAATCTGAAGACAATGTAAAAATGGGGATTAAAATTCCCAGTTTTAATCCCAGTGGTGGTCAAGCGATGTGATTGGCTGAGCGTCCTGACCTTTGTCCTTTCCAGCCTTCAGTTAGCGTCTCCTATAATGCCGTAATACCCCGTGGGCATGAACCACGTGGGTAAGACTGATGCTTGTCCAGCGGTGAATAAGTTTTTTTTTTTTCAAAACTTCATTTCACTACCTTTTTAGTCCTACTTTCTTTAGACACGTTTTTACATCAACAACAACAGCAATAACAACTATAACAACAACATTGATGATGACGCAACGAAAAGTACAGAACTCTATGTTGATCTATGTTACATTAATTTTTTTCTTCGTTTCTTTTGGAAGCTTTGGTTAATTATTTAGTCATCTATTTCCTTTATACCTGAGAAATTTACTTATGCAACCAACCAAAGATATTTGTTTGCAGTTTGATAAAAGCATTGTTGCAGGACGTTCTGTCAACACTATTGAACATTTATTGACTGGAAGTTTGTGTAAAGATGGCTCTGCTTGTCCATTATTTGGCGGTGAGGATTTTGCAGAAAAGGTCAAAAAACAAAACATCGAAGGAGTGCAAAGGGCGGCCATTACAGGATCAAATTAAAACTTTTAAGCTATGTAGATACGCGATTAACTATGCTCTCAATACGGAACTGAACTAATTTACTTTGGTAGCAAATCGAAGAGTGTAATTATTACATCATTTTCATAGACACGTGTAAACTATTGGCTCATTCAGAGGACATCACGACACACTTTAAAAGAAAAAGAAACGTTCACTCACTTTGAGCCGCTAACCCTCCTTGGTCTCGGATCGTTATACCCACAAATTAGTCAGCTTTTGCTCAGGCGAGAAAAACAAGAAGGCACTTTTGTGAAAGTCTCAAACTGCAGAAGTCACTGCATCACTTTTGTCACAAAACACAATTTAAAGACAAGGCAGAAAAAGTCTGTTACTCCACGTCCACACCCACAAAATCTGAAGACAACGTCAATGTCAACACCTCGTGTACTCCGCTAACGAAATGAACTAAATTTTTAGTTGTTTTGTCCCTCCGGACTAAATATAACCAAGAACAAATGTGGTCAAAATTGGCGGGAAAGCATGACTTAGCGTCTCGTCTTTGTGGAGTTGTTATGTAAGTGTTGACACTTTTCTTATAGATTGTTTTAGCTTCATTTACAGGATAACAATCTACCATATTATACCTTTAAAAAAAGTATCGTCTCGCTCCACGCAGTCAGCAAAACAAAATATACTATCTCGATAACCGGTTTTTGGAGGAGGGTTTATTGTTATTTGTTTTATTGTAACCAGTAAAAAAGGGGGATTAAAATTCCCAGTTTTAATCCCAGCGGTGGTCAAGCGATGTGATTGGCTGAGCGTCATGACCTTTGTCCTTTCCAGCCTTCAGTTAGCGTCTCCTATAATGCCGTAATACCCCGGGGGCATGAGCCACGTGGGTAAGACTGATGCTTGTCCAGGCGGTGAATAAGTTTTTTTGTTTTCAAAACTGCATGTCACTACCTTTTTGTCCTACTTTCTTTTGACAATTACATGTATAACAACAACAACAACAATAACAACTATAACAACAACATTGATGGTAATGAGAAGAAAAGTACAGCACCCTATGTTGTTCTAGGTTATATTGATTTTTTCTTTGTTCCTTTCGAAAGCTTTGGTAAATTCTGTAGTCATTTATTCACTTTTCACCTGACACATACTTATGTAACCAAAAATAATTGTTTGTAGTTTAATAAAAGCATTGTTGCAAGAAGCTCTGTAAACGCTATTGAAAATTTATTGTTTGGGAGTTTGAGTAAAGATAGCTTAGCTTGTCCATAATTTGGCGTGAGGACTTTGCCGAAAAGGGCATAAAAACAGTGGAAAGGGGCGGCCATTACAGGATGAGATTCAGGATGAATTAAAAGTTTTAAGGTATGTAGATATGCGATCAACTATGTTCTCTGTATGGAATTGAACTAATTTCTTTTGGTGGCAAATCAAAGAGTGTTATTATTACATCATTTTCATAGACATGTGGAAACTGTTGGTTTCATGGAGAGGACATCACGACACACTTTAAAAAGAAAAATAAACGTTCACTCACATTGAGCCGCTAATCCTCGGAACGTTATTCCAACAGACTATTCAGCTTTTGTTCTGGCAAGAAAAACAAGAAGGCACCTTTGTGAAAACCTCAAACTGCAGAATTCACTGTATCACTTTCACACAAAACACAATTAAAAGACAAGGCAGAAAAGGTCTGTTACTCGACGTCCACATCCACAAAATCTGAAGAC